AAAAGATCACACATTCCCTTGTGTCTCGGCTGGATCTGCAAGAGTGGAGTCCAGTTCCGATCGAAACCGAGCAACTTTGTCCGCCAAGAACTGAACATACTCCTCAGCCTTACCCTGCAGGGGGTTCCCCGTCTCCCTCCTATTTAGGAGGGAGCGGGTTATCCTAAACAGGGCGGCTGGGCGGGACTCGGCGGACGCTACCAAGGAGGCAATGTGTGATCTTTTGGCTGTTCTTAACGCCCGAATGTACTCCTTGGTGCATGCTGTCAACAGTGCTCGGTTCGACTCGGACCTATCGGACCTCCACAGGTGCTCCACAGGTGCTCATTATGCTGCAAAGAAATTTTCTGAAATTTCATGGAGTCATGAAATTTGAGAAAATGCTTCGATGAAAAAAAAGTTACCATGAATTTAAAAATGGAAATACTTTCAAATCAGTTCAGTAAAATATATTTCATAATAAAGCATAATAAAATATACATACTATCGATTTTCAACAGGTTCAATATCCAAGGTATTAATTCCACTTCCGTGAATTCTTTCAACATCTTTGTTCTTATTTAATTCCAAGCTTAATACCCTTTAAAAAAGGAAGCCATTATAAACATAATTAAAATTATATAATATTTTGTTACTGAAATCCCATCAAATTCTTTAATCCACTACATTTATTTACCATTTGTAAAATCTTTTGTAGTCAATTTCAAAATTTGGGAAGCTGACATACTACATGTCAGTATCTAAATGTAGTCAGTATACTACATTTGTATCTAAATTATGCAATGAAATGCAAGCACAGATAGGTAAATAACACTTCAATACAATATTTATGTATTGCATTTCTATCTATCAAATAACATTTCAATTTTTAAGTGAATTACTTCATTATCTCTATTCTAAGTAAGCTTTATAAGTTATAAATAAAAATGAATCTTTAAAAAAAATCCTACTGATTTGGCAAAACTAGAATTTAGATTTTTAATTTAAAACACTTATGTTAAAAATCACATACGCTTTTTGTAAAAAAGGATTCTACCCTTATAATTTTAGGATTTACAAAGAAATTATCTCCATTTCACCTTTAACACTGTGCCAGGTAGTACATATACAATTGATTATTCAATTCTATCTATTAAATACAATGTACTCTTTCTCCAGAAGCAAGATTAGAACTAAAGGGTGGAAAATAATGAGCCATAAATTTCGCCTGAACATTAATTAGGAGAAAGTGAACATAAACTCTATCAGTGAAACTGAGTGCCTTGGGATATGGTGAACCAAATTTTGCTGGAATCATTAAGGTAACTGTTGGATGCTCTTCTCTTTAAAATGGTATAATCTCATGGTACCAGGTTTTAAACATTTCATTATAAGGCTGCATTCACAGACCTTATGTACCCTTTCCCATCCAAATGCCATTCTTGAATCTGCAGCTAGACTGATGGAACTAGGGGCATCAGTTCCTAATTTCAGAATAAAGCAACACCCACCCATCCCACCCCAAAAAAATAAAGCAGAAAATGAACCTACTGAAAATGACTTACAAGCTAAGTATATGTACAACCAATGAGGCTTGAACAAGGGCACATTCATACAGGTGAAGCTTTCTTGCTTATTGTGCCCATACAATTCTTCCACTTCCTAGAAATGGCACTAGAAAGGACATTTTGGCTCCCCTCTACACAGTGAATCTAACTCACGATCAGTCTTCCTTACCAATTTGTATACTTGCAAGGAGGGTTATAATCAATGCTATTTCCTTTTCTGCAATTCTCTCCCACATCATGCCTTTCAGATTTATTAGAAAGACAGTATTATTGTTGTTCTTATCAGGACCTACTAGCAAAGAGAGCTACTTTAAAGCAGTGTCCCAAAGGTGCTTTTTCAAGAGGCAACTGGACTTTCTGGTTTTTCTTTGAAACTGTTTCTCTTCTCAATCCAGGAAGCTTCTTCAGCTCCAACTGAATGGTGGGGAATGGAAGGATAGATATTCTTTGCAGTCAGAGCTGAAGAAGCTTCTTGGATGAGAAGAGAAATGGCTTCAAAGAAAAACCAGGAACTCCAGTTGCCTCTTGAAAAAAGCACCTTTGGGACAACCATGACCTGGATGACTGAGAATCCCCATAGTTAAGGCATCAAGTAGAAATTTGGAATATTGTGAGTTCAGTCTGTCTGGAAGCTGTACTGCATATCAGACATTAATACAATTGAGCGAGTCCAGAGATATTTTCACAAGAAGAGTCCTCCACTCCTCTGCTCGCAACAGAATCCCTTATGTCACTAGGCTTGAAATTTTGGGCTTAGACAACTTACAACTATACCGCCTTCAATCTGACCTAAGCGTAGCACATAAAATTATCTGCTATAGAAAGTCCTACCTGTCAATAACTACTTCAGCTTCAACCACAACAATACACCAGCATACAATAGATACAAACTGCAAACTCGATTGCAGAAAATACGACTTCAGCAACAGAGTGGTCAACGCCTGGAATGCACTACCTGACTCTGTGGCTTCTTTCCCAAACCCCCATAACTTTAACCTTAGACTGTATACTGTTCACTTCACCCCATTCCTAAGAGGTCTATAAGGGGGCGTGCATTAGCCCACCAGCGTGCCTACCATCCCTGTCCTAATATTCCCTTGTATTTTTATTCATTTCATGTATTCGTAATCATGTTTATACTTATATCTTGTTATCTTATACATGCTTGATAAATAAAATAAAACAAATAAAATAAATAAGCCCAAAGTCAGCCCTAAGGAGATTGGCAAACCATTGCTGAACTCTTCCCAAAAAAACTGCAGGGACCTGGCCAGGGAGTCGCCAGGAGTCAACCCTGACTTAAAGGCCGCGATGATGTATCCAGAGAGACACCCCACGAACCCGGGTCTGAGGCGTTTATTTTGACGCGGAGGCTTTGCGGCACCCTCCGTGATCACGTGTGGCCTGAGGAGACTAAATGCGCTCCGGGTAGTAGGAACGCGGCTTTACCTCCTCGTAGCCTCCGCTCGTCGGAACCTCAGCGGGTCATCTACACCTGCCTGACGAGCGAAAAGAAAACCCAGCATAGCCGAGAAGGAAGAACCCGCGGCGGGGACGCCACCACGCCGCGAAATTATCTCGCGCCCATTGGCTCAAAGAGTCGCTCTCTCAGCCAATAGGAAACCTTGGTATTGGAACGTCATCGGTAGGGGAAGAACCGGCTGAGAATGCCTCAAGTGTCGACCGCGTCAGGTTCAGGAGAATATAGAGAAACGTATAAGAAAAGATACGGCAAAGCGGCTTCTGCTTTGCGCTTCTAGTGTAAATTCGAAATATTTCCATTTTCCCAAAACGCTGTTCAGAGGATATCTTTTCACAGTCATGTTATTAACAGAGAGGCATTCAGCCATTAGTAAATTGGGTTTTTTGGCATAAAATACATTTGTCTGTGTGTGTAAATGCAGAATGTGTTTTCTTCAATTTTATTATCTCTAATAAACAGGACGCACGTTCTGAGCCTGAGGAAGATGTGGGCGTGGCTTCTGACGGAAAGAGGCGGGGAGAGAATTCATCTCTCCGCGTGTGGGGACCCCTCGCGTGCCGGTCCCGTTTGGGGAGGAGGGCGGAGGGAGGCGCGATTGTGGTCTGCGGCCTCGCAGCGCCCTTCGTCTGCCATGAGCGGCGTCGGGCGGTTTCTGCGCTTGCTAAAGCAGCGCTTTATCGGGCCAGGGAGCGAGTTCGTGGGCATCGACTACTTTGGAAACAAGTATTATCGGATCCCGCCGCACAAAACTTGGGCAGGTGAGCGAGACGAGGTGGTCGCCCGAGGCCGGTCGTATTTACGCTCCACTTAGGCAATAAACTATAGTTCGTGAATTACAATGGCTATACCTGATATATGCTAAGAGAAAACTGTAAGAGGGATCTTGGAGTCCTAGTGGACAATCATTTAAATATGAGTCAGCAGTGTGCAGCAGCTGCCAAAGAAGCCAACACAGTTCTAGGCTACACAAACAGAGGGGTAGAATAATACCACTTTATAATTCCTTAGAATTGACCAAAATTAACCACACCTATCTCAATCAAAATCTTTTTTTATAGAAAAGTGCTTATTCTCCATGCTGGCCAAATTGCAGGGGAAAGAAGGAGGTTTTCAAGGCTTTATGAAAGGACAGAAGATTTGTTTCTTGAGCTACAGCATTTCTGAAAACTGTTAAGGGAGAAAATGGGGAAAGGACTTGTACTGAAGTCCTTTCATATACCCCCATGATACATGGCATTGAAGACCAAGATGTTATCCATTCTTTTTTACTTTCTTACATCTGTTTATTTTCTAATACTGAAGCAGAGGAGTGCTCATTCCCAGGGAGCTAACCGTGGCAAATTCCAAATAGAACATCACTGCTGAGTTTAATATGCCATGGTCACAAAATTCAAATGTTGAGTTAGGTTTTTGAGGAATGTGAGTTTATGGATAAAGAACAAGAGTAATATTTGGAATCTGTTGCTCTGTACATCAGAAAAAGTCACAGTGATATCTGAAATAAAGTCAAATCTATAGAATTTAACTATAAGCAAAATAAAAATTAAGGGGCCAGAATAATAGATAAATAGCATAATAAAAGAAACAGGGATGCTGGGCTAAGTTAAGACTCACCTGAAATCTGTGTTCTGCTGTTTATGCTAAATTGCTAAGTATTTATTAAGCTAATGCGTACAGGTAGTTCTCAACATATGACCACAATTGAGCCCAACATTTCTGTTGCTAAGCACAACATTAGTTAAATGAATTTTGCCTCATTTTATGACCTTTCTTGCCACAGTTGTTAAGTGAATCATTGCAGTTGTTAAGTTAGTAACATGGTTCAGTGGTGGGTTCCTATCGATTCGTACCGGTTTGGCGGCCTGGGTTTCTGGTTCTCCGGCCACAGGTGCTGCCATCTTGTTTTTCGAATCTGCACATGCGCAGAACAATTTTAATCGCACTATGCATCCACGTGCAGTGTGCATCAAGTGCATGCGCAGTACGCACATGAGCAAACCGAAAGTAATGTCTGTTGGAACCTACTCCTCACATGGTTATAAAATGATTCTGGCTTCTCCATTGACTTTGCTTCTCAGAAGATCACCAAAGGTGATCATGACCCTGGGATACTGAAACACTCATAAAATTGAGTCAGTTCCCAAGCACCTGAATTTTTATCACATGACTGTGGGGATGTTGCAACGGTCATAAGTGTGAAAAATAGTTGTAAGTCAGTGCCTTTGTAACTTTGAACGGTCACTAAATGAACTGTTGTAAATCGAGAACTACCTGGATTATAATGTGCTATCATTATTAATAATATTCTACAAAATTTTTGCTATAAAATAGATTGCTCTAAAGCTTAAATTCTGGCTAAAAATGTAAATCACTTTGGTCTTGTAAATAATGTCATGTTTGAAATAGCAATAGACTTGTGTCTTGATTTAAGATTTATTAATGGAAAGGAAAGTGAAGTATAAAATTATTTATATTCTTAATTTTGGCAGTATAGTATTCATTGATAATAGTAAATTATTTGACCAGGCATAGAGTTAATAGCTTTTTCATTTGGTGCCTTCTAGTTTCATTACCAGAAAGAAACATCTAGTGAATACCCATAATAGCCAAAGATTGAGTTGAGATGGTACATCAAGTTGTATACTGTGGTTCATAATGGTTTTGTTTTTAAAATACAAACATGTTATTCTCAAACCAAACCAAGCACACTTTGCATAATATGTGTATTCAAACAAATTATCTGACAAGTGTCACTGCTCTTTACTTCTATTCAGAACAAATAGGGGCAGAATGCAAATTTCATTGATTTATTTTTAAGAAACATTGCTTAAATACATTTTATGTTTATTTGGTCATGTATTTGATAAAGTTCTTTATTATATTAAAGGACAACTCAAGGGCAGTTCTAGGACTGCAGATTATGGGCAATAGTTACAAATCACAAATCTATTATCTATTTTCAAAATCTGTGTGCAGTTTAAAAAAAGACATTAAATTTTCATAGACATTTCCCATATTTGGAAAGCAGTTTTCACTCTCTATATAAAATGAGTTACACAAATGATAGTACAGATTTGAAACAGGATACAGGTAACAACTTGCATGAACTGGCTTTTTCTCTACCAGCTACAAGATACATAAATATTGGTGCACAATCTATTGAAATGATTAAAATTATTGGAATAAGCAGATGTTTATAGAGATGGATTAAAGGGAATATTATACATAAACATGTTAGCCAATTTAAGGTATATAATGTTACAAAGTTATGATATTAGTCAATTCATTTGTTGATCACTGATTAACCAATCACTTTTTATTTCTCCCTCCTACCATTTCTCAATTATATAAGTTCATTGTGCTTGCCATGATTTTATTTTTATTATTTTTATTATTAGTATTTTATTAGCTTTAGTATTTCAGAATTGTATCCCTCAACATCCAAAATGTTGAAAGAGAAGTAAAGAATTCCAGAACTCTATACTGTAATCTGTGAATTGTACTCCCAAATTACTGCACGATCTGATATACTGCTTACAATTTATACATGTTAGATTAATTTATTTTTTATAGTAAAGTGATTTTCCCCCCACATTGAACTTGTCTCCTGGTAACTGGTGATATGCTTCTTCAATTTGCAAATTGTTCTTTAAAACTTTTACGTACTATTTGTGTCCAGAAGGAGGCAGTGTGGCTTGAAAAAGATTTATATAAGCATCATATTTATATACCCTGCATTGTGCAAAGGACAGACTGTAGTTTCTTCACAGGTTATGCTGGTAAACTTACGTGGAGAATACTTTTGTGGGGAAAGTCTATATACTATATTATTGGTTCACACATTTTTTCTTTTTAAAGTAATTGCTCTTGTAGTATTGTTCAAACACTACACTGAATTATAGCTGCTACAGTTCCATTTTTTGTTTTCATTTTTTTATGAAAACATTGGAAGAAAGAAAAAGCTTGGTATATATGATTAAACTATCTCATGTTATTTATGACAAATAATATTTTTATTTGTCAAATTTATTTGCTGCCCATCTTGTGGTTCAGGAAACTCTGAGCTTGTAAAATTAGAATGGTTAAGCTGTCAGGCTGCATGAGGATGGTAACTAAACTTAGCTAGAATTACAGCATGAAGTAGGTATAATCCAATGATTATGTATAAGAAAAGAGGCCATGCATAGATATGATCTCAGTTGACAGATCATACAATTTCAATAGTCTGCTGGGGAAAAGTTATTGAATAATAGTATTCCAGTAAATCACAATTTTCTCACTATAGATTTTCTTCCTGTAATTTATCCCTATCTTTCATATATATGAAACTGAGGAACATTAAGTAAACAACATTAGGGAGAGTGTAGACTAAAGAATAAGAAATGCTAAGACAAAGAAATTAAAAGGTCTGAGATAATGGGGGAGGAGGAGAAGGAATATGGCTAGATCTAATTTATACTAACACTATTTCTTTATCGTTTTCTCCTTGAAAACAATACTTGCTCTGCCATATCAGTACACCGATCCATACACTACCTTTTCTTTTTTTAGCCCTAACCTCAACTTCTCTCAATATACAACTGTTGTACAGATTATTCACTTTTGTATTCAATCCATATTAACTAATCAAACATTTATTCTTTTATTGTACATACTTTCTAAACCCACCCGGAGCCACTTAGGTGAGATGGGTGTCAAACTCGTGGCCCGTGGGCCGGAGCGTCACATGCTGGCTCTGCCCCCTACCAGTTTAGCGAAGGGGGAAAATGTCCTAATACATCACGTGACAATGTTGTGACAACGCAAGTTTGATACCCCTGGTCTAGAAGTATGAAGAATAAATATATCCCATTTCATAGGATCCTGGTGTAACCAACTCTGACTTGCATATAACAAAATGAACAGAAATAAGTTCTTATAGCATAACAGTTTCTACTTACTTAGATAAACTGTCCTTTCAGCAGACCATGTATGCTGATGCTTTTTCTACCAAGATTTGTTTTTCTTAACATTTCTTCATCTTTAGTAAGGATCTGTCTAGTAAATGGATGTTTAGAGCCTCTCAACTCAATGTGACTTTTGGTACTATGCTATAGAACCAGATAATTCAAAAGAGAAATACCGTGCAATATTAAAAATATAGAACATATAAAATAGCAACCAAACAGGATAATTAGATAATGAAATGGGGACACACAGGCCTGGAGAAAAAGTTTTTAACAGTTTTTCTAAAGGCATGCAGAGTTGGGGCCCATCATATCTGGGGGCCAGGGACAAAGTTTGTTCTAAGCTCTCTTCATAAGTACCAAAGCAAGATGTCAAAGGTGAAGGGGCTCAAATTTGTTTTACTTGCTCTGTTTTTTCTTCCATTGTATTATTTGCAATTTCTCATTGTATTTCTTCTGTCAAACCCAACTACTTTGGTCAACATTACTTGGAATTTCATTTCTTTAGTTACATTACAATAGCAGAGCTGGAAGGGACCTTGGAGGTCTTATAGTCCAACCCCCTGCCTAGGCAGGAAACTCTATACCGTTCAGACAAATGGCTATCCAACATCTTCCTGAAGACTTACAGTTTGGAGCATTCACAACTTCTGGAGGCAAGCTGTTCCACTGATTAATTGTTCTGTCAGGAAATTTATCCTCAGTTCTAAGTTGCTTCTCTCCTTGATTAGTTTCCACCCATTGCTTCTTGTCCTACCCTCAGGTGCCTTGGAGAATAGTTTGGCTCCCTTTTCTTTGTGGCAACCCCTGAG